AAGAAAATCTGTGTGACAGAACAACTAACAACTCATTCACTCGCTTCTAGAATCCGACCATCACACACTAGCTAGGGTTTTTTAATGAACACATCGTATACAGCCTTGACAAGAAATGAGAATGGATGAATGAACTATGAAATAGTTGGGTACAAGTACTACTCGAGGCTGAAGGTGTAACTCAGGGACGGCCGGTGCAGAGCCTGGTCGTCAGCCCAAGAAGTGTCAGCGTGACCTGTGAGGACCACTCGACGTCGCCCTCCAAGCACTAGCCCCATGCCCGACGTACTACACACGTAGCGCAACACCCTCTTCGCTGCAGCCATATGCTCTGGTCTGTGTCTCCCAGGAGCAACATAGTGTGCCAAGATGCTAAGAGGCTATGCAAGGTCAGGTCGTGTGCAGGTCATCAGGTACATGAGGCAACCAACAAGCTTTGGGTACGGGCCACTCGACTCTACAGACTCATCCGAAGGCAGAGCTGAGAGCGAGTGGCGAGTAGACGGAGGAGTGGCCTGAGGCGAGGAGTACGTGAAGCCGAAGCGCTGAAGGACCTGCTGCACCATGTGAGACTGAGTCAATGTAATGGTGCGCTGTGCTCTTTCCCGGGTGATCTGCAAGCCAAGGTAGCTGCGCAGTTCACCCAGGTCTGTGCACGTGTGTCTCTTCTGCAGCTAGGACTTCACGTGGGCGAGTCCAGCAGTGTCAGGTGTGGCAAAGACCAAGTCGTCGACATATACGAGGATGTAGAACGGCGGTAGAGAGGTGTCAATGCGCAGAAAAAGCGACGGGTCGGCTGTAGAAGGAGCAAACCCAAGAGCCGCAAGTGTAGTCCTCAGTGTGTTGTGCCACTCACGGGGCGCCTAGCAGAGACCGTAGACTAGCCGCCGGAGGCTCCACTTGGTACCATGAGGAAACGACCCAGTGAAGCCAGGAGGGCGTGCAGCCAGATCTCCTCGTGCAGGCTGCCCTACAAGAAAGCTGTGCAGAAGGTCTGAAAGTAGTCAACTCCCTGCTGCTATATGAAGCCTTGAGCCACATAACGCGCCTTGAAGACAGGCGGAGAACGTGGGGGCCGCTTCACCCTGAAAATCCACATGCCACTGATGATGTTCGCTCCAGGTGGGGGAACCTCGTCGACGTAGGTGCCTTTGGACTTCCAGGAAGCCATCTCTGCGTCCATGGCCGACTGCTACTGAGAGGAGTAGGGACCCTCGATCGCCTCAGCGTATGATCCACGAGTCGAGATCTCCCTCAGGGACAATCAGCGTGGACACGAGATGGGGCAAAGCAGCCGCAAAGCACTAGAACTCCTCCTGCTTGTCCTCAAGGACGGCATGCTAAGAGCACACTCACCACCGACGGACGGAGGACGAACAGACTCAGACTCAGCAACGAGACTGGCAGCGTAGTCTAGACGACAGCGAGCAGTGAAGTGGACAAGCTCAGCAACGAGAGCAGACGCAGCATTGGACTCAAGGGTCAGTGACAACAGTAGCAAGAAGGCGCGTGACTGAAGGACTAGCAGCACGAAGGGAGTCAGACTCCGGGTCAACAAGAGAAGGAAGAGAGGACTCTGGAGGAGACGGCAACGGAACACGCAGAGGAGAAATAGAAGAACGCAGTGCCATCTGGTGTGTGCTGGGGACCGCAGAAGGATGCGGACGCGTAGCACGATGACTAGTGCGAGCAGCACAAACAGGCGACGCAGGATGAGACACAGGCTGACGACGCTCAGCAAGACCTCCAGTAGAACCAGTGTAGGGAGAAGGAGCAGGTAGCGGGGAGGGAGGCTGTAAATGTGACTGCGACTGGACATGTTGTGGACACTCTAAGGGAGGAGCAGGACCAGGAGAGGGCGGGAGACTAAGAACCTGCTCCAGCAGCGGAACGAAGTACGGTCTCGGCCACTCAGCACCTCCAGAACCAGCAAGGACGGCACTAGTGCCCCGAGCGGGAGCACCAGTGCCAGCAGCACCTCTAGCTCCAACAGCGCCAACTCCAGCACCCTCAGAAGCACCAACGCCAGCAACACCGCCAACGCCAACACCCCGAGCAGCTCCAGCTCCAGCAGCACCAACTCCAGTAGGACCGTCAGCACCAGCAGCCTCAGTAGCACCCCCAGACGCACGCGCACCCGTAGAAACACCAGCGCCAACACCCCAAGAAGCTCCACCTCCAGCAGCACCAGCACCGACAGCAGCTCCAGCAGGACCAACTTTAGTAGCTCCAGCAGCACCCGCAGACTCAGCAGCATGTCTCCAGCGGCGGGCGAACCACTTGTGCAGCTCCTGTGGAGAGAGTGGCGCCCGCCTCGAGGAAGCACCGCCGGCGGCCACACGAGTAGACCCAGCACCCCTGGGGCCCGCACCACCATGCTCCGCACCCCCAAGCTCAGCACCCCCAGGCTCAGCACCCCCAGACTCAGCACCCCCAGACTCAGCACCCCCAGGCTCAGCACCCCCACTCTGAGCACCCCCAGACCTAGCACCCCGAGAACCGGCACCCGCAGGCTCTGCACCTCTAGCAGCACCAGAGTCAACAGCTACCTCGACAGGCTCGACTGCGTCTACCTGGGACACACCTCACGGGGCAGGACCCTGAGGAGGGAGGGGGTCTACCTTGGGAGGACCTGGCGCAAGGAAGAGCGGCGGCGGGGGGGGGGGGGGGTGGGGGAGGGGGGGCGCATTGCGGTAGGGGAAGAGACGGTAGTAAGGCACCGACTCATCAAAGGTGACGTCCTAGGAGGACAGAACACGGCGCGAGTTGGGGTGGTAAAACTGCCATCCAGGCGCGTGAGGGGGGAAGCCAAGGAAGACGCAAGGAACAGCACGGGGAGACAGCTTGTCCGAAGACAAGTCGAGAAGAAACGCCTGAGATCCCCAGACCCGAAACGCAGACGCATCGCCAACCTTCCCAGTCCACTGCAAGGCGGGGGAGGTCTCTGGCAAGGAGACCCAGGGCTGAAGGTTGACCTGATGCGCGGCATACTAAACCGCAAACGGCCACAGAAAATAGGGGGCAGCCGCATGCATCATGGACGTACGAGCGACGTCCATGACCATGCCGATGCGGCGCTCAGCAATCCCATTTTGCTGTGGAGAGGCCGGAAGCGTGAAGGTCTGGCGGATGCCCTATGCATGACAGAAGGCTCCAAGACGGGCAGAGGCAAACTCCCCGCCTCTGTCTGAGTGCAGACGCAGAACAGGAAAGTTCGAGCTGAAACTCTCCCTGAGCTGGAGACAAGCTTCGCGGATCTAGTCGATCAACACCTCAATGACGTCACCCTTGCTGCGCAAGGAGAAGAATGTGGTGTAACGCGAGTAGTCGTCAACAACCAATAGAAAGTACCACTCTCGCCCCTGCCCTCTGCCGTGGGCTGGGCCCCACACGTCTATGTGTAGAGCCTGCAGCCGAGCCTCTGTCGGAGGAAACTTGGAGGAGTGAGGGGCGGCGCGTTGTCGCCCCTCGACGCAGAGGACGCAAGTAGGGCCAGGCCCATGAGGAAAGGGAGGGAGAGACCGAGGAAGACCAGAGACAAGGACACGGGAAGCTATGCCTCGGCGATGAGGCAAGGAGGGGTGACCAAGGCGGTGGTGCCAAAGGAGAGTCTGGTTGGACAGTAGACGATAGGAGTAGGGGGCAGACTCGGGACAAGACCTGGACGCCGCAGCAGACACCTGAGTCGACGCAGCTACTTGGGCAGACTCAGCAGCAGGAGGAGATTCAACCGTAACGGTGTACAGGCTTGACCCTGGCCGACGGGTGAACGTGGCCAAGTGTCGGCCTGTCCGAGCACACATGCAGTGGGTCACTCGCTGATTCGCAGAAGTGAACTGGTCAACCCCTCGATTATGTAGGTCCGCTCCACTCACCAAGTTCGTAATGAACGAGGGGAGGTAGAGACTAGACAGGGTGCCAGAGGGGGCTGCAGGGCACGGAAGGACAGTGGAGAAGCTAGCAAGGACAGGACCCGCGGAGGGGTCTGCCAGAGAGATTGCAACCGGCCGACCAAGCGGCGTAAGAGTGGTGCGGTCTCGAAAGAAGGAGCGGGACGCACCCGAGTCCAGGGTGAAGGTGTGGAAGGCCTGAGACGACGTAGTACCTGAGAGAGGAGACTCACCAGCACCTGGGGCGGCAGACGCTCTAGCACCTAGGGCAGCAGACGCACTAGTACCTAGAGCAGCAGCCTCACCAGCACCTAGAGCAGCAGCCTCAATGCCCGGGTCAGGCGGTACACACGGGTAACAGTCACTAGCAACACTAGTATCAACAGCACACATGGTAGCAAGGATAGCATCAAAGTCAAGATCAAAGATAGCAACCCCGGCCTTAGCCAGATCTCCCGAGCGAGGGATCTCTGACGCCTCAGGGAACTAGCGACGCCACGCATCCGTCAGGCGTCCAAACAGCGCTGGGTGGAGTGCGGGCCTCAGCAGTGCTCACAAGCGCGGTCGCAACCACCACCAGCGCCACTCCTCTGCGCAGAGTCGCGACTCGCTCCACCACCGCCGCCTCCGCCGCCGCCTCCGTCGCCTCCTCCACCTCTGCTTACTCCACTACCTCCGCCGCCTCCGCTCCCTCCGCCACCTCCACCGCCTCCGCCGCCTCCACTGCTGCCGCCGCAGCCGCCACCCCTGGCACCACTCCCACCACCACCCCCACTCCCTCTACCGCCTCCACCACAACCTCCACCACCCCCTCCAGCCCCTCCAGTGCCCTTGCCCCCCTTGCCCTTGCCGGTGCGGCGTCTTCCGCTCGGGGCAGACGCAGTGCCGACCGACTCGAAACCAACAAGGTCGGCCGCAGTAGCAGAGGCAACTGAGGGCAAGAGGGGGGAGGGAAAACACCCCTCAAAGACGGGGGTGCGAGGGTCACCACGAGAGGCTCCTATAGCGACTATGCTCTTCTCTATCGCTAGGAGGGCCTTCTCGAGGAGGTCAACGGTGAGAGTGGTGGGGCAAACAGAGAGGAAGTGGTCCCTGACTACCCGAAGAGAGTCAGGGAGCCGGGTGACTATGTAGTAGAGGGTGATGTACATGAGGGGGGGGGGGGTGGGGGTTATTGGTGTAGAACTCAGCAGGAAGCGCAGCGTGGTAGCGAGTGTCACTAGTGCGGAGGTGCGTAATGAGGTCAGCGACAGTGGGAAAGGCAGGAAGGTCAGGGAAGAGGTACGGTAGCATGAGGCGGCTCAGTGCAGCGGTGGCAGGGGAAGAGTAGCGTGCAACTACAGCATCGTACAAGGTCTGAGCACTCTTGTACTGGCTAAAGTGTGCACGCTCAGTGGTCAGTAGGTGGCGGCGCACAGCAAGGCGAGCACCAGCAACACGTGTGGCCCACTGAGAGCGAACAGTGGCGTTAGCATCAGCAGCAGGGGCAGGGGAGGCACGAGAAGTGAGGTCAAACAGGGAGAGGCCGTCTCCCCTATTGCACTGCAGGAAAAGCTGCAGATCATCTACCCAGACCTCAAAGTCCACTGCCCGACCCTCAGCGTGAAAGGTGAGAATGCTAGGGGAGGCCATAACAGTAGTAGGTAGGCAGTAAGTACAGTGGGGTAGGGCAGTGTAGTGGCAGAGACTATGCTCTTACCAGGCAAGTGGGGCGATCGGACTGCTCGGCGGCTCGGCTGTCAGGCGGCTCGGCTGCACCTTGCTGGGCGACTCGGCTGTCGGGCGGCTCGGTTGCTGGGCGGCTCGGCTGCTGGGTGGCTCGGCTGCACGGTGCTGGGCGGCTCGGCTGTTGCACTGCTCGACTGCTGGGCGACTCGGCTGCTGGGCGGATCAGTGCTGGGTGGCTCGGTTGCTGGGTGGCTCGGCGATCGGGCGGTCGGGCGGCTCAGCTAGCCAGCGGTTTGGCTGCTCGGCGCGGCGGGCGCTCTGCGGCGGGGCCGCAGGTGGGGGCGAGGCCGCAGGTGGCAGCGGGGCCTTAGATGGCGGCGGGCCGCAAGGGTGGGCGGGGCCGCAGGTGGCGACGGGGCCGCAGTGGGCGACGGGGCCGCAACGGTGGGCGGGGCCGAAGCGGGGCCGTAAAGGGGCCGTAGCGGGGCCGTAGTGGGGCCGTGGAGGGGCCTGGGCAGAGCCGCGGAGAGGCCAAGGCGGGGCCGCAAAGGGGCTGTAAGGGGCCAGACGGGGACGCGAAGGGGGGCCTAGGCGGGGCCGCGAAGAGGCCGTAAGGGGCCGTAAGAGTCCAAACAGGGCCTAAGCGGGGCCACAGAGGGGTCGTTAGGGGTCTAGGCGTGGCCGTTAAGGGCACGACGGAGCCGCGGAGGGGCCTAAGCGGGGCCGCGAGGAGGCCATAAGGGGCCTAAGCGGGGCCGCGTCGGGGCCGTGAGGGGCCTAAGCGGGGCCGCTACTCGGTCGTAAGGGGCCTAAGCGGGGCCGCGACGGGGTCGTAAGGGGCCACATGGGGCCATAGAAGGCGGCGCGAGGGGCCATAAGGGCGGCCAACGGGGGCTACTAAGGCGGCTCGAGGCGCTACTCGGGTTAGGACGAAGCACGCTTCGAGCAGGGAAGAAAAAAAAAGGTTCGTGGTGGGCCCTAGGCAGTATTCCCACTCGGGAACGTGCTCGAAACCATGACGAGAAGTGAGAACGGATGAATGAACTATGAAACAGTTGGGTACAAATACTAACCCTAATTGGGAAGTCAAGAGAGTGAAGCTCGTAGTCGTGCTGAGCGGCTATGTGCAGAAGCACCCGAAGAGTGGTCATCTTCGGGGTGGACGAGAAGGTCTGAAAGTAGTCAACTCCCTGCCGCTGACTGAAGCCTCGAGCCACGTAACGCGCCTTGAAGACAGGCGGAGAACGCGGCGGCCGCTTCACCCTGAAAATCCACATACCACTGACGATGTTCGCCCCAAGTGGGGGAACCTCGTCGACGTAGGTGCCTCTGGACTTCCAGGAAGCCATCTCTGCGTCCATGGCTGACAGCCACTGAGAGGAGTAGGGACCCTCGATCGCCTCCGCGTACGATCTAGGAGTCGGGATGTCTGGTGCATCCGGGTCTCCCTTAGGGGCAATCAGCGTGGAAACGAGATGGGGCAAAGCAGCCGCAAAGCACTGGAACTCCTCCTGCCTGTCCTCAAAGACGTGCGTGCTAAGAGCACACTCACCCTCGACGGACAGAGGACAGACAGACTCAGACTCAGCAACGAGACTAGCAGCGTTGTCTAGACGACAGCGAGCAGCGAAGTCGACAAGCTGAGCAACTAGAGCGGACGCAGCAGTGGACTCAAAGGAAGGGTCAGTGACAACAGTAGCAAGAAGGCGCGTGACTGAAGGACTAGCAGCACGAAGGAATTTAGACTCCGGGTCAGCAAGAGAAGGAAGAGAGGACTCTGGAGGAGACGGCAACGGAACACGCCGAGGAGAAATGGAAAGATGTAGTGCCATCTGGTGTGTGCTGGGGACCGCAGAAGGACGCGGACGCGTAGCACGATGACTAGTGCGAGCAGCACGAACAGGCAACGCAGGATGAGACGCAGGCCAACGACGCTCAGCAAGACCTCCAGTAGAACCAGTGTAGGGAGAAGGAGCAGGTAGCGGGGAGGCAGGCTTCAACTGTGACTGCGAGTGGACAGGCTGTGGACACTCTAAGGGAGGAGCAGGACCAGGAGAGGGCGGGAGACCAAGAACTTGCTCCAGCAGCGGAACGAAGTACGGCCTCGGCCGCTCAGCGCCTCCAGAACCAGCAAGGACGGCACCAGTTCCCCGAGCGGCAGCACCAGCGCCAGCAGCACCTCTAGCTCCAACAGCGCCAACTCCAGCACCCTTAGAAGCACCAGCGCCAGCAACACCGCCAACGCCAACACCCCGAGCAGCTCCAACTCCAGCAGCACCAACTCCAGTAGGACCGTCAGCACCAGCAGCCTCAGTAGCACCCCCAGACGCACGCGCACCAGTAGAAACACCAGCGCCAACACCCCGAGAAGCTCCACCTCCAGCAGCACCAGCACCGACAGCAGCTCCAGCAGGACCAACTTTAGTAGCTCCAGCAGCACCCCCAGACTCAGCAGCACGTCTCCAGCGGCGGGCGAACCACTCGCGCAACTCCTGTGGAGAGAGTGGCTCCCGCCTCGATGAAGCACCACCGGCGGCCACAATAGTAGACCCAGCATTCCGGGCTCCGCACCCCCATGCTCCGCAACCCCAGGCTCAGCACCCCCAGGCTCAGCACCCCCAGACTCACCAACCCCAGGCTCAGCACCCCTAGTCTGAGCACCCCCAGACCTAGCACCCCGAGACCTGGCACCCGCAGGCTCAGCACCTCTAGCATCACCAGAGTCAACAGCTACCTCGACAGGCTCGATCGCGTCTACCTGGGACACACCTCACAGGGCAGGACCCTGAGGAGGGAGGGGGTCTACGTGGGAAGGACCTGGCGCAAGGAAGAGCGGCGGCGAGGGGGGGGGGGGGGGAGGGGGGGGGGGCGCAGTGCGGTAGGGGAAGAGACGGTAATAAGGCACCGACACGTCAAAGTTGACGTCCTGGGAGGACAGATCACGGCGTGAGGTGGGGTGGTAAAACTGCCACCCAGGCGCATCAGGGGGGCAGCCAAGGAAAACGCAAGGAACAACACGGTGGGACAGCTTGTCTGTAGACAAGTCGCGGACAAACACCCGAGATCCCCAGACCCGAAACGCAGACGCATCGCCAACCTTCCCGGTCCACCGCAAGGCAGGGAAGGTCTCTAGCAAGGAGACCCGGGGCTGAAGGTTGAGCTGATGCGCGGCGTAATGAACTGCAAACGGCCTTAGAAAATTGGGGGAAGCTGCATGCATCATGGACGTACGAGCGACGTAAATGACCATGCCAATGCGGCGCTCAGCAATCCCATTTTGCTGTGGAGAGGCCGGAAGCGTGAAGGTCTGGCGGATGCCCTGTGCACGACAGAAGGCTCCCAGACAGGCACAGGAAAACTCCCCACCTCTGTCCGAGTGCAGACGCAGAACAAGAAAGTCCAAGCCGAAACTATCTCTGAGCTGGAGACGAGCTGCGCGGATCCAGTCGATCAACACCTTAGTGATGTCATCCTTGCTGCGCAAGGGGAAGACTGTGGTGTAACGCGAGTAGTCGTCAACGACCAGCAGAATGTACTGCTCTCGCCCCTGCCCACTGACGTCCATGTGTAGAGTCTGCATCGGAGCCTGTGTCGGAGGAAACTCGGAGGAGTGAGGGGCGGCGCGCTGTCGCCCATCGACGCAGGGGACGCAGGTAGGGCCAGGCCCCGGAGGAAGGGGAGGAAGAGACCGAGGAAGATCAGAGACAAGGACACAGGAGGCCATGCCTCGGGGACGAGGCAAGGAGGGGTAACCAAGGCGGTGGTGCCAAAGGAGAGTCTGGTGGGACAGAAGACGACATGAGCAGGGGGCAGACTGAGGACCAGACCTGGACGCTGCAGCAAACATCTGACTCAACGCAGCTACCTGGGCAGACTCAGCAGCAGCAGGAGACTCGACCCTGGCCGACGGGTGAATGTGGCCAAATATTGGCATGTCCGAGCACACGTGCAGTGGGTCATTCGCTGACTCGCAAGAGTGGACCGGTCAAACCCTCTATCCTGTAGGTCCGCTCCACTCACCAAGTTCGTAGAGAACGAGGGGAGGTAGAGACTAGACAGGGTGCCAGAGGTGGCTGCAGGGCACGGAAGGACAGTGGAGAAGTTAGCAAGGACAGGACCCCCGGAGGGGTCTGCCAGGGAGACTGCAATCGGCCGACTAAGCGGCGTAAGAGTGGTGCGGTCTCAAAAGAGGGAGCGGGACGCACTCGAGTCCAGGGTGAAGGTGTGGAAGGCCTGAGCCGACGTAGTACCTGGGAGAGCAGACTCACCAGCACCTGGGGCGGCAAACGCACTGGCACCTGGGGCAGCAGACGCAATACTACCATGAGCAGCAGCCTCACCACCACCTAGAGCAGCAGCCTCAATGCCCGGGTCAGGCGGTACACACAGGTAACAGTCGCCAGCAACACTAGTATCAACAGCATACATGGCAGCAAGGATAGCATCGAAGTCAAGATCAAAGATAGCAACCCCGGCCTTAGCCATACCTTTGCAGCGAGGGATCTCTAACGCCTCAGGGAACTAGCGATGCCACGCGTCCGTCAGGCGACCAAAGCAGTGCTGGGTGGAGTGAGGGCCTCCGCACTGCTCACCAGCGCGGTCGTCGGTACGGAGGACGTAAGAGCAGGGACCAAAACCCCCACCGCGCTGGCGCGCAATGTACCACTAACGAAATTTCTGAGGGGACAGGGTCACACCACTCCGTTGCTGCTGCTGACGCTCAACCACCACAGGCGCCACTCCTCTGCGCAGAGTCGCGACTCGCTCCACCACCGCCGCCTCCACCGCCTTCTCCACCTCCGCCTACTCTACTACCTCCGCGGCCTCCGCTCCCTTCGCCACCTCCACCGCCTCCGCTGCCTCCACTGCTGCCACCGCCGCCGCCACCCCCGGCACCACTCCCATTACCACCGCCACTCCCTCCACTGCCTCCACCACCACCTCCACCGCCCCCTCCAGCCCCTCCAATGCCCTGACCCCCATTGCCCTTGCCGGTGCGGCGTCTCCCGCTCGGGGCAGACGCAGCACCGAACGACTTGAAACCGACAAGGTCAGCCGCAGCAGGAGAAGCAACAGAGGGCAAGAGGGGGGAGGGAGAACACCCCTCAAAGACGGGGGTGCGAGGGTCACCACGAGAGGCTGCTACAACGACTATGCTCTTCTCTATCGCTAGGAGGGCCTTCTCGAGGAGGTCAACGGTGAGAGTGGTGGGGCAAACTGAGAGGAAGTGGTCCCTAACTACCCGAAGAGAGTCAGGGAGCCGGGTGACTATGTAGTAGAGGGTGATGTACATGGGGGGTGGGGGTTCTTGGCGCAGAACTCAGCAGGAAGCGTAGCGCGTTAGCGATAGTTACTAGTACGGAGGTGCGTAATGAGGTCAGCGACAGTGGGAAAGGCAGCAAGGTCAGGGAAGAGGTACGGTAGCATGAGGCGGCTCAGTGCAGCAGTGACAGGGGAAGAGTAGCGTGCAACTACAGCGTTGCACAAGGTCTGAGCACTCTTGTACTGGCTAAAGTGTGCACGCTCAGTGGTCGGTAAGTGGCGGCGCACAGCAAGGCGACCAGCATCATTAGTGTGGCCCATTGTGAGCGAACAGTGGCATCAGCATCAGCAGCAGGGGCAGGGGAGGCACCAGAAGTGAGGTCAAACAGGGAGAGGCCGTCTGCCCTATCGCAATGCAGGAAAGGGCGCCAACAACATCGCCGACGCCCTGACCCGCCCATCAATGCTCTAAAGTGAGTACAACCCTTCTAAGGTTTGCTATTTGTATCCTCATTCTTGCTAGTGCAACCCTCTTCTTTCTTCTAAATTCTCACATGCTATCAGAGCAGGTTGATCCCTTTGGATCGATCTTGTCGGTGGGCTGACCACCTCGTTGCTTTCGGTGCAGCTTCTGCTGCTACTCGATCTGTCACACACCCCGTGTCGTTGATTTTCTCTCTGGCGCGCGCCCCAAGGCGCGCGACCCCTCGCTGCCCCGTCACTCGACGCGTCGCCCTTGGGAGGCGCTGCGACGGGCGACGGGGACCCGCATATCGCCCTCCGTCGCCCGTTGTGGCCTGCGCTAGGCCCGGACGCGGCCCGTACGGGCTGCGCCAGGCCAGCACGCGGCCCGTACGGGCTGCGCCAGGCCCGCGCGCGGCCCGTACGGGCTGCTCCAGGCCTGCGCGCGGTTCGGGCGGCTGTGCCAGGCCTGTGGGCTGCCCTTCCTTGCTGCCCCTGCCCTCCCCACTGTCCCCCGTGCTTCTACTGGCGCCCCACCCCTCCTACAGCCCGTTCTCCTGAATTAGGGTTTGGGGGTGAGGGGTATGGGGGTGAAGCCACTGTGTGCTGTTCCCTTCTCCTCCTCCTCCGTCTCCCTGTGCTGCAGCTCCCGCTGAGGGGGGTTGGACTTGTTGGAGCCGTTGGAGTGGTACAAAGGGGGGGGTGAAGGGGGAGTGGAGCTAGCGGGGTAGCAGCGGGTGTGTGTAAGGGGGAGTGGGATAGCTTGGGGTGGTTGAAGGGGGTGGCCGGCGTGAAGCCAGCAGCTCTAGTCGCCCGTGAGCCCGTTGTGCGAGTCGCCCATGAGCCCGTTGCGCCAGTCGCCCGTGAGCCCGTTGCTCCAGTCGCCCGTGAGTCCGTTGCTCGGCTGCCGCTACTTCTAGCCGCAGAGCCAATAACTCTAGTAGCCCGGATGCCAGATGCTCCAGTTGCCAGTGTGCTAGTTGCTTCAGTTGCCCGTGTACCAGTTGCTCCAGTTGCGCTGTGTGCCAGCAGCTTCAGCTGCCGCTCACTACCTCCTCTCCTCTCATAGTCTCTTTCCTCCTCCTCACTTGTCCGTTGTGACTACCACTAGCTTTGCTCATAATTGTGAACTTTAAACTATTGCTTCTTGAACTTGTACTCAGAATGTGTGGTGACATTGTGATCCACCCTAAGCTTGTACTGCTTTGCTTGCTCTGCTGATTACACCCCACTTTAGCTATGGGGGTGTGTCAGAATCTTATGCTCTAGCCTGTAGTGGGGTGCTCTACAGCGAGTACAACCCTTCTAAGGTTTGCTATTTGTATCCTCATTCTTGCTAGTGCAACCTGTTGGGTGCAAATTCACATTGCACGACATCCTGCCGTCTGTTTGTACGAGTATGCGTGTGCGAATGCATTTTCGTGTGAATGGTATGTTTGTGTGTTTGTTTGCTTTCGCAATTTTCGCTTGAAGCATTTGCAGGTACTTGCAAAATGTGCGCTTCGGCATAACATTGTACGCGCTATGAACAGTACAAGCAGAAAGGACGAGCTCGCAAAGGAACCCAAGATGGAAGCTTTGCGGTTCAACTTACTTGATTGCGCAGATTCAGTTCTATCCAACTCGAAATTGTACTGTTTTGTTTGGTTGACTATAGTGTAGCAGGGCAGGCACTATAGGGGTACAATTTAGGTGAAGGTTGGATGTTGTTTGTCTGTATCTGCATGCTACAGGGCCAGGGGAAACCAGCGGAACCAGCATTTGGCTGGTTGGGCAAAGACAAAACAGGTTCTGTTTTTAGGACCTGAACCTGGTTGTTTTTTTCCCAGGTTGGAAAAACAGAACCAGAGGTTGTTCACCAACCTATCACCTGCTATTTTGTTCAGCCAGGTTGGTTCTGTTGCTTGGAATTATTTGGGATCATCCCTGGTTGTTCCCAGGTTGATTCCCAAGGTCCTTGCTAGCTAGAGCTATTTATTCCTTCTCTGTTTGTACCTGAATATAGTGAAATTGATTCAAGCGAATTCCTTCCTTGCTGGAATTTCTTGTCTACGCGGTGCGACGGCGGAATGCTACCCGAGTCAACGCTAGTACGCTAGCACTCCAACGCTAGGCTAACGCTGTCCGAGCCATAACTTCGTAATGGCAGAACTTTTCGCGAGGCAACTTGGCTTATTTTAAAGCTCTTAGAGTGAGCTTCGATATAGGAAATTCTCAGCTTAATCCGATCGACGGTCTGCACGATACGCTGCGCGACGCTCAAGGTACTCTTGCTGTTTTGACTAAGTCCCTCTTGATCCCTCTCTCTACAAACTCGGACCCGAGGATAGGGGCTGGTCTTGTACCAGGCACCCAAGGACCCTTGGAGGTGACCCCGAGGAGAGGTTTTAAGTGTGATAAAGTCTTAATAGCTTGAGTTTATTAGGCCCTTACACCAACAAGCTGGTATCAGAGCTGCGTTATAGTGATCCTCGATATAGGTAGCTATGGCGGGCAACACCTCGGCGGTAGCTGGTGAATCTTCAGCCCAAGATCGTAGCGGCAGCCATGATTCTGGTGTTTCTGCGCCAAGGGGAGCGCGAACAAGCCAGGGCTCGCTGATCAAGGAGGTGCTGAAAAACTTCACCGTCGAGAAGTTCAATGGTGAGGGCTATGATGATTGGGCCTGGAAAATGCAACTTTATTTCCGTCAAATCGGATTGCTGAAACTAATGATTGGGGAGGAGCCTAGACCGAGTGACCCCGCCCTTCAGGAAGATTGGGACGAGCGCGCCTCGGCTGGCTACTACTTGATGTCGCAGAGTTTGGAGCTGAACCAGCGTCACCACGTCATGCACCTGCTGCCGGAGGTTGAGTGCGGTCCGAAGGCGTGGACGGTGTTGAAGGAGCTGCACGCCCCGACCTCCGTTGTTGCAACATTGATGCTGGAGAGGGAGCTGTCCGCGTTGCGCCTGAGCGAGGGAGAGCCGGTGCAACCTGTCCTGGACAAATTGCGCGACCTCTACGCGAAGTTGGCGACCGCAGGAATCACCTACCCGGAGCAAACAAAGTGCTTGAAGATGCTCTCGCTGCTGCCGGAATCGTGGCTTCAATTTACGAGCGGATTGAGCCTGCCGCAGAACCAGAGCTTGTGGACGCTCGAGTGGGTGCGGACGAAGATTCTGGAGGAGGACTTCCGTCGCCGCCAACTGAGGGGTGGAGACGACGGCAGCAGCGGCTACGGGATGCAAGGGAGCCGACGTGGCAAAGGACGTGGCTTCGGTGGTGCTGGACGCGGTGCAAAGAAAGACGACGACTCCAACGACCAACAAGGAGGTACCGGTTGGGGTCGCGGTGCGAAATCTGGACGTGGGGTCAAGTCGGGTGCTGGTGGCAAAATGAAAGGGAGTTGCTGGTATTGTGAGAAGGAAGGGCACCCCTGGTTTTTGTGCTATAAGAAACCCGATGGATGGACCCCCCAGAATCGTCACCAGGATGGCGGCGCGCGGAGGAACCAGAAAAACGGCGCCAACATGGTCGCTGATTCGTCCGACAACAACCCGAAGGGCAACGGCGGTGCGGAGAAGAAGAAGGAGCGCACCGCGGGCCAATTCTTCCATATGGGAGACAAGGGGGAGCAAGGAGACGCATCTGCTAAGGCTGGAGCAGAGCTGCACCCCCTGGACTATTGGGTGTTGGACACAGGCGCTGCTTGGACAATGACGCCGCGCAAGGACCTGCTGGACGACGTACGCGCTGCACCGATTAATGAGGTGTGCTCTGCCTCTGGACACATGTTGAAGGTGGCTGGTGCGGGACGAGCTGCATTTAAGGGAGCGGATGGCAAGCCGGTGGTGCTGCACGACGTTCTCCTCGTCCCCGACCTGAAGGCCAACCTCATCTCCCTCCGTAAGCTTGGCAAGGCTGGGGTGAACACCAACACGGATGGGGCTCGCACTTATAAGGGGAAGCTGGGCAATCGGGTGCTTTGGGATCTGCACGAGAGCAAGGACGTGTACAGATCTATGTGGCAGCTGCCGGCGCTGGCGTGGCACGGTGGGGGGCAGGCTGGAGAGGGGTCTGCATCCCAGGGGGAGTGCAACGCCGTTGGAGGGGTTGGTGTGAAAGTGTCGGCCAGATCTGGGGAGACAGATTGGGCAACTGCACACCGACGTTTGGGGCATGTGGCAATGCCTTTGCTGAAGCAGCTGGAGAAGGTTGGAGCCGTTAAGGGCTTAAAGCTGAACGGACAACCACCCGATGATAACTGTGAAATTTGCCTCCTTTCAAAGTTCACCCGTTTCCCCTTCCATAGTGTGGCTGGCAGGAGCAAAAAGCCGTTGGAGCTGGTCCACATGGACTTGGTGGGGCCGCTGCCGGTGCAAGGGCACAAGGGGGAGCGGTACTTCCTAACCATAGTGGATGACTGGAGCAGGCTAATGTGGGCGTATCCGCTGAAGCAGAAAGATC